ATATTTTTTTTTGTTATATAAAAATTTGTTTTATATTTTTATCTTTTTTGGTTTATTTTTAACAAAATTATAATAAAATTATAGTTTATTTTGTCAAAATATTATATTATAATAAAAAAAGTTAAAAACCCAAATAAAGAAAAACATAAAAACAAACTATTTTATTTATAGAACAAACAAAATCGTTTCTGATTTTTTGTTTGAAATAACAAATGTTAATAATAATAATATTGCATATTAATTTCTGTAGTAAAAAGCTAAAAATAATTAAAAAGTATTATGTTTTGTGTTTTTTGATAAAACATTTTGAAGATTAAAATAGCACTTCAACCATAAGAAAACCAGAATTTTTATTCTTTGTTATTGATAAACATTACAATTTATATTTATCATTTAATTATTAATATTAATATTAATTAATTTACAACATTATATTATATAATTAATCATAAACTATAATATAATATAATATAATATAATATAATATAATATAATATAATATAATATAATATAATATAATAATTATAACATATCAAAAAAATTAAAAAATTAATGGAAAAACGCCGAAACAAGGAATAACTCATTTAATAGTAAGAATACTATAAATAAATTAACTAACAAAAAGAATTATAATTCACAATTTAGTCAAAGTGACGTAGTCCAGTCTATAGAGTAAAGTTTTTTCAATATTTTCAGTCTCTGTAATAACACAAAAGACCCAATTTTCAGGGGAGTCTGAAACTTCAGCTGGTATTACTAATCTTTTGGCACAGCCATCACAATATTCGATTTCAAACGTTGCCAAATGGACGAGTTCTACATGGCGATTACACAGAACTGATACTTCGCTTTGTGTTGCGATAATGACGAAATCGAACATAGCGCAACTCATCACTTTCATATCGACAACACGTTCAACGTCTTTGAATTGGCTTGACAAATATGGATTTCCTGCTTCGTCGAGACACACAATTTTCTCATCACTTGATAATAAATATGTCACATCTTTTCCAGCAGTCAAATGTAAAATAGTCTCATCGACTGTCACATCAAGTTGGATGTTCCCATTTTTCCACTTCAAAATTCTATTCCGACAAATCTTACTTTGAAGGAGTACAACACTGTTTTCTACACACAATACATATTCTCCTTTGATGGTCTCTATTAGACTCCCCTCCGTTGTCACAAACTTGATCTCATCTTTTGTCACAATCACTATGATATACCCACACACGCATACCCGTAGGACATACCCACT